AAATTTAAGCCAACTTAACTTGTCGAAATGGCTTTTTTCAAATATTATATATAATATTGTACGTACAAGATAGATAAAGAATAAATTAAAATTTTTTTTAAAGTACTAGACAGACATATCTATTACCTTTAACATATATCTTTCTCGGAAGTGTAAATTTTTTCACAAAAACTTTTTGTTGAATTTGAGATCATTTTAAGCAGAAAAATCTTCATCTCCGTCAGAAACTTTTGTTTTTTTTTTGGTGGTCTTCCTGGAGAAGGGCCACGTGATCAAGAAAACCCAAACTTTTTCTAATTGAATCGCCAATTATTAAAGTACATTAAAATCGGTAAGTGGTGTTATATTATAATAGAATAAAATAGCTCTTCAAAAAAATTCACGAAAAACGCGTTTTTCTTGACTTGCATATGGATATAACACCTTAAACCAATCTACCATATTCAAGAAATAAATAATTCACTCGGTATTTTAATTTTCATTTGTTTATGTTTCGCACTTCAGTGATCACAAGCCAGTCATACAATTCCAGAATATGCTGATTGAAATAAATAAATATAGTCCATTTTTAACATCAAAGATATTTTATTTGCGAACCATCCGTAATTAATAATACGTATACCTGCCTTTATTAAAATCGACGATCAAGATATAACCAAATGAATTTAACTGCTGTTGCACGTACATTTATTTTAAATAACTTCTTCGACCTTACTTATTTTCACTTATATTGCAAAATGCAATTTATATATTGCAGATGTATAAAATATCATCAAAAATAATTGCCAGGTGGTGCATGAATTGCCGCAGTCTATAATGGCAAACAAGTGGCCATCGTTATCCTTGCACCATACAGCAGACAAGCATTAAAGAGCGATCTGGCGCGGATGCATTGCGAAATTCGACTGTAAAAGAGTTGTGCATATAAGTAAAATGTGCATATGAAAATAAATATTTATGAAACTCTGCGCAACATCGCCAAGTTATAATTGCCAATAGCCGTGGACAGAGGACGGAATGTGCGTGCGAGTGATGACGTGGCGGTATAGTTTGCCACAGCATTACAGATATTTGTCATATTCGAATGGATTGCTTGTTTTCGATATTTTGTTGTTGTTTGTTGTCTTATCTCTGCACCAATCGCTTTATTTTGCTTACATTTCAAGATTTGTACATTTTGATTGCTTAATCTGCGAAAAATTTGTTTTGATCGGTGGCGGTGAAAAAATGTATGCGTATTTGCGCAATTTTTGGAAAAATGTTTTTAAGTTTGCTTGGGCAAGAGAAATGTGTACATGCTCGTATATAGGTGGGGTGGCCATGTGGAGTTTGTAAAAATTGCCGGCTCTAAATATTTATAGGTATTAATAATAATTATGTATATTTTTGTGTCTGAAGCCAGATTGAAGAGAGATTGCTTGTTAAATATTTCTGATAAATTGCGCACTTGTTTAAGAAATTATTAGAATGAAGTCTTCAAAATTTGACCTAAATTTAATTGAAATGCAGAAACGCTGAAGTAGATGGATAGATCGAAACTTAAGGGTAACGTTGAAGTAGGAGTCTCAGTCCGGAGCTCTCTATCAACACTTGCTTTAGACTGCCAGACTATTCTAGTGTCCTTCTAGCAGATCAAAATACCAACAGATGTACTGCTTCGAAGTACAGCTTCTTTCAGGGAAATGTGTATCCGCCGCAATACAAGCCATTAGCTCGCTGACAGTGCGCTTAAAGTTTATATAATCTCATTAGCACTAGTCTCCAACTAAGTACTTCCGTATTAGATTTGTTGGGGTACCTGGTCACAGCGGAACCGATTCAAATGATTTTCAAATGGATACAAGATGATCCGCATAATATGGAACTAAATGGGAATAGAACTTCTATGGAAGTATATACTATTATAAGGGAGTGTTACTTGGTAATCAAGTCCAATTTATTTTTTTTTTTTAGTTTTAAGAAGATCTGCTGTTACATTGGATACAAAATGATCCAATGCCAAGCCATTAGAACCTTTTTACTCTAGCTTTAGAAAATTTAGGTAGGTTTGAAAAAGATCGGGCGAAAGAAATTTGCTTTAATAGCTCAAGTGTTATACAAAATGAAAGATTAAATTAATAACAGCATTTCATATCGTTATAGTCAGAACCATAACTATATTTACTATGACCGAATACTAGTGCTGTAACCTCAATTAAAATAAATAGTAGCTAAAACAATATTCGAGATGAATAAAAAACCTTATATGGAAAGTAAAAATTACTAAAACATCATAGAAGCACAGGAATGTTTATCAGCTGTTTGAGATTATGGCGGAAATCCAAAATCGAAATGGAGCTTGTTTGTAATTATGGCAATACTGTTAATGAAAATGTGTCGTCATAGAGATGATTAGATTAGATATTTTCTAACGCTATAACACCACCAATTTAATCTTTAACTGATAGGTTCGGCTAAAAGAGATCAAAATCAAGTTTTCGCAAAAAAAAAAATTATTTTATATTTCAAAAAATACTCCCCCGATTTTGAAACTCCCTACCCTAATGAAATGAGAGAAAACCACGTGTGTGGATGTTGCCCATATTTTTATATTTTACCAAATGCAAACGAAAAAAGTATAAGGAAGAGAAACATTTTTTATTGGTAGTGGAAGTAATTCATATACTTTTCTACCATAAATTTTAAGACCGTGGTCAATTAAGCGAGGCCAATATGGCTATATTCTCTGCGTGGCATTTTTGCCACATTTTGAAGAGCACTTCATATGCCTTTTTTAATGAACGCTGCAGCAGTTAAACGTGAGTTTATGGTCAACTATCAGATTTTGTATATAAATGCGTGACTATATTGCGGTGCATGTGCCTTGGTGACCAAGTCTCTCTCCTCATATGATTAATACGAGTTGTGGCAGTCTTAATAAATGTAAAGCGTGCCACTTATTGACGTGGTCAGATAAAGTTTTTAATTGCGCATTTGTATATGTTTACACATTACTTAATTAATCAACTTGCATAGCCACTGGATCAATAATAGCGCCGATGTATAGCAAGCACTTAAGTTATGGGTATAGGTAATGAGCATTTTTAATGGCTTTGTGCTTGTGGAAGTGGTGTTGCCAGTGGTGCATGGAGAAAAATATGTGCGATTGTGTATTTTATATACGTAATAAATATTCAATTGCATATTAAGCAAGGCAGTTTCAATGTGAAGACTTGAAGCATTTTTACAATCTATAAGTAATAAATATGTGGTAATCATTAAAAATTACTGTATAATATACATACATATGTATATATGTATGTGTGTGGTCATCACTTGGTTCCTGCATTATAATTTCGTTTATTGCTTCCGATATTGGTGATTTAATGCGCAGCATGTCCTTAGGCGTATACGTGATATTATATTAATAATTATCGAGCTTTTAACACCCACTTGTAAGATATTGTATCATTATTGTTATGGCTCTCTATGCAGGGTATAAAGTATAATTTAAAAATTACGAAATATGTTTAAATAACGCATTCGTGTGTTCTTTGTATGAGCAGGAAAGAAAATCGGCTGCTTGCAGTGATTTATGCGAAATTTAACGCGACACCACGGGCACATAACTCACCATTAGCTGGTGGTTAGCTTAATATATATATGTATATATACTATGTCTGCATACGTTCGAAAGCGTCTGCTACGCACGTATTAGCAATAAAATCTCTGCAATAACTCTACATTTGTAGACAATGGTGCGTTTGTAATTACAGCAGATCGTAGGCGCTGATAAGCTTACGTATATTTTAAAACAAATGGCATTTATTTTATATCTACATACATTAGAGCGGGTTGATTTACAGCGAGCCAAAACAAAAAAAAATGGAAAAATCGCGTATGCGGGAAATATTCTTCTTTAATTAAAAGCAGGCAATAAAATAACTAAATAATCGTTTGTATGAGAGATATGTGATATAGTTGGCCGATTCCGAGAAATGATCAATAGAATCTCAAAATGCACCTATGTATTAAATTTCATTCGAATAGCCCCCAAACTGACGAAGAAATTTTTATAATCCCGAAGAATTAAACTTCACCTAAAAACTCGCAGACTCGAAACCGATTTTAGACCCATATTCTCTCAGCCAAAGTTGTTCAAAATGATCCGTAGAACATTTCCCTCATATGCAATTTTTTAGAAAAATTTCGACCCGCTCTAACATACATATGTATATATGTATATGAAGATAGCAGAAAATGTTAGGATATGCTATTTATAGCAGTTTTGTCGCATTTTTTGCAATTGGCAGCAGTTGGCAGTGACATAAATTGCATTTTATTTACGCAAGAGCAGATAATATGGAGCATTTCGCTTTTGCCGCTCCAATCTACACATCTATAGTTATTTTAACTTTGCAATTTCAAAAGGTTTTGACACAAACGTGCTTAATTTGACACTTCAATTCGCAATTATGATATAGTTTGTTAAACTCGTGCATATACAAGAGCGAGATAGAGAGATAGAGAGCCGGAGAAAAAGAAAGAGCGCTCTAGAGAAATGAACTTATTGAAGTGTGTGGGTAACTTTGACAGCCGAAAAGTATTTGATCATATTTTTCAAGCATCTGGCTATTCAAATCCTATATAAAAATATCGAAGTAGCTATCCTGATTGGTTTTGAGTGAGATGTACTCTTTATCATACTATTATATAGAGAACTCGTTGTATGAATAGTAACAGCGAAGTACTTAGAATATCATCTGCTCAAATTTGGCTCAGACTGGTTCATTTAAATTGCGTGCGCAAACCGTTTGATAAAGTTTTTTCCCAGATAGGTACAACCTTTTTTATGTTCGTGTAAAGTTTGATCCCAATTTGTCAATTAGTGTGAGTATGGCGGTTGTTTGGTTACTCACGAACAGTTTGCCTGGCAATTTTTATCATGGAATTTAACAAGGAGTTTGCTTGTATTTTTGTGTTTCCAATGTAATCACTTCGTTGAAAATTTTGCAGAATTGTTTTGGGTAGTTTACTTTACCACGAAAACAAGTATTTGAGTGGCGCAAAGTATTCAGTGAAAGTCGTCGAAAACTTACTTTATGTCGTTCATTCACCTTTGTTAATGACGATAACATTGAAAAAGTTAAAGAAACATTGATTGAAACTCGTTGTATGGGATCAGAAAGATAGCAGATGATCAAAACATCGCTTATGAATCGACTCAGCACAGTGTGGCTAACGTTTTGGGTAAGATACGTGTAAAAACTAGACTCTTACCAAAAGATTTGTATCTTTTTCCAAAAAGACGACGAGTAGTTGCCAGCTCTACTCTATGAAAGAGATGCTCGTCAGATGCTTGACAATGTAGGGTCCATTCATCAAAAGCATTGGTGACAAGACGGAGGTTTATGAATATGACGCCGAAACCTTTCAACAATCTACAAAATAATTTAGAATAACTGCAAAATTAATTCGATCAAGATAGCTGACATTTAAAAGTTGTTATGAGAACGTGTGGACATATAATTTATGAATATTTGGGTGTATGAAAGATGTTGTCGGAGTAGAGCCGGGCGAGCTCACGGCGCGAGGAATTGGTGGTTCTGAGCTAAGTCTAGTGCTTTTTAATCACAACAAATCCGAGTTGTTCCTTCCGGATTTTCTGGACAGTCATCCGAGGGGATTGCACCAGAATACCCAAACACAAAGCGTGGAAAAACTAAATAGTCAGCTGGCAAAGGTATTTTTATTTTTATTTTAGAGTTCGACTATTATATAGCGCTTTTGTAGCCTTTGAATAACGAAAGTGTGAAATAAGATTATCATTTGCAAATGATGAATCGCACCGGAGCTAAATACAACAAAATTGTAAGTATTGCGCTCGGAATTATTTCCGCATTTACGACATTTTCCGGTTTTGGTCCACAGCCACTTTTTCTTGTTCTCAAAACAAAAAAGGTTGGGAAGATCACTGTTTAACTATTGATACATAGCAATTATTGTTTTTAAAAAGTTGAAATAGTAATAATATACATACGTACGTATATATTTTATATAAATTTTTCTGTATCTTTAGACTAAATGCCAATAACCCATTAAATTGGCTCATATCATCCACCATACTTTCATGAATGCTATCATTGACATAACATATTTTGTTTATAAAGATTGAAACAATCGATCGACAACTTACTTCAATAACAAGTTGTAAGTCCAAAAATACTTAAAGTATATATTTTATTTGTATATTTTTTTTGTAAATCTTGTATTTGTGAAGTTCAAAAATTAGATCTTAAACTGGATTTTTTTTTTCTTACAACAAATCTTTATCGACCATTAGTGTTAATTTACATTCATAGTTCACGTTCTGTTATCACTTAGATTTCACTTAGACTTCACCTTGATTATGATTAGGTACTATTGATTTACTACAAGTTTTTATTTCGGTATCATACTAAACTATAAATAAATTTGCATATTACAAAATGTGCAGTTTATTGGTTGGAAATCCTTTTCTAAGTTAATCAGATGTTAATTGGCAAATTAACCACTTAAATTCTCGTATTTTTAATTGCCAAATAATTTGTGGCGAAAAAAGCAATACAGTTTAGCAACAAGCGTTAAATTAAAAAAAAATTGCAAAGCAAAAAATATAAACAAATCTATGTATATGTGTATGTAAGCATGTGAATAAATTAAGAGCGTAACAACAAGACACTCGTTGATTGACAAAAGTAAAAACACTGTCGTTGGAAAACTCAAATATGACACGCACAAAAATTAAAACATTAAACCAGTTTCAAGTTTTTGCAATAAAAGTCTTGTGAGTTAAACTCACGTGATACTAGCCATAACGAGTTAAATGGTAAGCAAATGCATAAATGAATGAATGAATGAATGGTGAGTGATTTAAGTGGCGCACAATAAGAAATATATATCTATCTGTATATATATATAGTCATATGTACTACATTGTAGTTCAATTGGATCTTATTTGGTGTGCGTAAAATTTTTTTTTATACAAATCTATTTTCATGAGGTGCGTTGTTTGCAAGGAGTGCGGTCAGCATGAAATACAGCGTGATTGGTCTATATTTGTATGCAATATACGCCTATTTAACTAATTGTCATTTGTCGGACTATCTGTCAGTTGTATAATTGTACATTTTTACATACAAATAACTGCTATTCAGTCTCTGCTGCTTGCTTTGGTGAGCAGAAACATCCGTTTAAGCGATACAGTAAGTCATTTTTCTATTTTTGATACATGTATGTATGTATGTAGGAAAATTTACTAGGGTGAGCCTAATGCGAATATTTTCGTTATTTTCGCATTTAATGGCTTTCGAAAATTGTGACACGATTATATTTACAAATATTTGCTACCAAATGTGGTGGTTGAAAAACTTTAAAAAATGGTCGAGATATTATTACCTTTGTGTCATATTTTACTTCGGTCTAGCTGCTCATTGAAAATTTCAAAATCTTTTAGAACTAGACTTAAATCTTAATCTCATGACTTGTTTAATGTCACGCCTAAAATTCTTTATATCATTATATAAGGTTAACTTTAATTTGGTTATCTTAGACTGCATTATGGCAATTAGCAGTCTTTACTTAATTAAAAATTTAATATAGTCCCACTTAATATAATTACTCTATTATATATATCTATTTCAATTTATCAACGGGCACTGTCTCAGTTATAAATAAATCGTATTATAGGCATAATTAAGTAAATTTGCTTTAATTGAGTTTCATTTGTCATAATAAATAAATTATTCATTGTAATTGTTCAGCTAATTAAACTTTAGTTGTATATAAATCGCGTTAAAAATGAATTAATTGGATTTCATTCAACATAATTACCAAATTGTGAATTTTAATTTCTTAATTAACCATGTAAGTCCATGTAATTAACCATGTAATTAACCAACTAAGCTATAAGCATTTAAAATACCTAATTTAGTTGATAATTAAATTGTCAACACTAATACATAGAAAAAAGCAATTCCTAAGGCTCGATTTAATGCTTAATTGACTCAATTAGAATGGTTACTGGATCATATTGGCAGTTGTACTTAGTGCTTAATTTTGAACGATTACCTACAGGTTAAATTAGTCTTCAAAAAATCAGTTGTTATTCCGTTATTTACAGTTTGGTGAATATTGACCTGAATACATTTCTTTATCTATATTACATCAATGGGTCTATAACTATATTCGTGCCAAGAGATAACAAAACTTGATTATTTTTCCATCGTTCTAATATTCTGATCATGGGTGTTTTGCACGCTTCAAAAGAAGTACTTTCGGCTTGGAAGACGAAGAACGTCCTAGGCGACCGAAGGATCGTGGATAAGGAACTGGAAGCGCTACTCATTGAAGAACAAACACAAGAAGAGCTCGCAGAATTTTTGGGAGTTACACAAGCAACCATTTTAAAGTGTTTAAAAGCAACCGGATACATTCAAATCCGAGGAAATTGAGTGCCAAATTGAAGTCAAGAGACGTTGAAAGACGATTTTAAATGTCAGAAATACTGCTTGAACACTAAAAGAAAAAGTCGTTTTTCATAGGATTGTAGCTGGTGATTAAAAATGGATCCATTAAAACAACTCTGTAACCTGTGACGCTGTTTAAGCGCAATACTTTGAATAATGCAATACTCAGCTAAGTACCATACCTTCAGAAGAATCTTCCGCTGATTATATAACGCTTGTTTTGTACTTTTCAAAATTAACAAGTAAAAAACACAATTTTTGACTTGCTTAGATAATCTCAAACTGATAAATATATATTCTATGATAATTTGTATACCAAATTTAATAAATTTTCTAGTAAGCGATGTGAAAAAGAACCTAAAAATCACATTATTTATTTTGCATTACTTTAGAAAATTAATTTTCATTATGTAAAACCCACGTAAGTATAAGTGGAAGTAGACATATGAGTCTTGCGGTCTGGCATATATTAAATAATTTCAAAAAAAAAATTTTTATTTATTTAGTACGATCAATTATATATATATATATATATTAATTTAAAAGTGTAACAGTAGTTTTTTCTGTTATTTTTTTTTACTAATTTACCACTTTTTTTTCTTAGATTTCTTTGACGAATTTTTTCATCTTTTTATCTTGCCACAAACGGCACTCACGTTGACCATAACATATGCTCTGCTGCGCCGACTTCAATAGTCGCAACTCAACGCAATTTACTATAAATATTGTAGTTCTGCGACAAGTTGTCTATAGTATTAAATTTGTTACTAAACACAGCAGAAGTTTGTAGCTTCACTTACTTCGCCTATAATTCGGAGAATTTTGCAACATGAAAATCGCTGTAAGTCTGTGCTCGTATTATCCTTTTGTTAAATTTCCTGCAACTAAGTCACAAAAAGGATTATTCAACCAAACACATTTGACCAAAAATAAATTCTTTAATCGAATCACATTCGTGTGCGTTTCAATTAAATTAAAGTGATAGCGCAAAAGTTGTGAATTGATTGAGCGTTCAAGAAGTGCAGAAATTCGTTAAGCATCAGGTGTTGAAGCTCTTAACAGATTTATAACGTAAACAAACCACATTAAAGCGATGAGTGGCGCTGTTGGTAAAAAAAAATATTAAATTGCAGTGTTTTTATTACTGAAGAGAATTTAAAGGCAAGGTTTTCCAATATCAATTTGCTAGCAATTTAATATTGTTTTTTTAATTTGATATTACCCTTTAACATACCTAGTATCCAGGTGTTAAATTAAATCTGTGTCTTTTTTTTAGTACGCACTAATAAGGCTACTTCAATACTATTGAAACTTCGGGTAAAGATTCAAAATCTCTACTCGTTATCTAAAAAAAAAATTAAAATTATTCTTAGCCATGAATATATAGATCTCTTCTAGGGTTTTGGTTTTATGTAGCTATCACAGACATGGACAACATTACCTTACATTAAAAAGGAAAAATTAAAGAAAAAACAACTTTGAAAAAAATATATTTTAAGAAATAAACGAAAATGTGTAAAAACCGGTCGAAGCATATTTTGATAGGGTTGCTACCTTTAAAAAAAAAAGCAAAACAAAGATAGTTAAGAATTTTTTAGAACATGCATGTACTCCAAATAAAGGTGCTGTAGTTGAGTGACAAATTATATTTTTCATTTATTCTAAAAACTATTTTACAAAAGTAGTGATAAATAACGCAAAATTTTTTACGGCTACTTTTTACATAAGTAGCAAATTGAAGTTCTAGCAATGTGTAAAGATACTTTTTTGTTAGGTTAAAGAAAGGTTGAAATAAGGTATGAAATATTATGAAGAGAGATCAGTTATATCGGCAAAGTATGAGATAATTTCAAAAACTTGCCTGGGCGTATACGTAATATGTGTTGATGAACAGTACTTATTTCGTAATAGGTAGATTTAAGGGGAATGAAAAATGATAAAATATTACATAATTTCTCTTTTAATGGAACTAAAGTTAATTTCTATAAATCACTAGTCAATTCGGCCTCTTAATAAAAATTAATATCTTAATAATTCTAAAAATATGCCAATATAATTCAAAATATATTAGAAATTTGGTAATGCAACGTACTTATAGCCAGAACAGGGTATATTAAGTTTGCCACGAAATTTGTAACCCATCAAAGGAAAAGTCGGATATCGTAAACAATACATATACATATTGTATATAAATGTTCAGTATGATGAGCTGAGTCGATTTAGCCATGTCCGTCTGTCTGTCTTTAAATACGCAAACTAGTCCCTCAGTTTCTGAGATATCGATATCAAATTTGCATACGTCCTTTTCTTCTCAAAAACCTGCTCATTTATCGATATTGGACCACTATAGCATATAGCTTTAATGATCGGAATCAAGTGCTTGTAAGGAAAACATTTTCATTCGACGAGATATCTTCAGGAAATTTGGCATATATTATTTTCTAAGACAACGGTGTAATCTCCAAAGAACATGCTCGGTCGGACCACTACAGCATATAACTGCCATACAAACTAACCGATCAAAATCAAGTTCCTGTAAGAAATACTTTGTATTTGTGCAGGGTATTATAGCGTCAGTGCAACCGATGTTAACGTTTATTATTCGAATTATTTTCAACACATCTCAAATACAAGCCTATTCCAAAAAATTTTATGTACACACACACCTAGTGTGACAGCCTAAAAAGCGGCGATTTTTGGGAATTAAAAAATAAAGCTAAGGGTTTATTTATATATATTTTAAGAATATACAGTAAAATGTTTAAAGAAATTAATTTAATAATTTTAGAGTTACATGCGAATTTTCAACGGCGTTAAAAACAAGTACTCTACTGCTGCAGTGATATCGGGCTGTTCTGTGTATGAAGCTCAAAATCAAAAATTCTCTCTAGAAGATTTTGTCCGTAAAATAATCTAGGGCCGAAAAAAAAAATTGGCAAAATGGCAGCGTTTAAAAAAAGTTGAATTTTACCCAAAATTTTGATCGCTTTTGGTTTGCCAAAATTCGACAAAATTCAAATTGAGTAGATTAAAAAACAGATATACAGATTTTGCAAAAAAAATTACGTAGTTATCGGATTATTCAGCGTTTAAAGATAAACTGATGAAGCTGATTGCACTCAATGGTTACACTTTACAGAGCTACAAGTATAAGTCAAAGAAGATGCAATTAAATAATTCGATAATAATGACTTTATACTGACAAATTTTATGTAAATAATATTTAAAAGATTACTGTTAGCTGAAATGATTACATTATTTTCGTTAATTACTTCTCAAATGAAATCCAACAAAATAGGATTTTCTTTTTTAAATTTAAATTTTTCATCTTAAAAACTAATTAAAAAATTTCAAAAAAACCTCAAATTTAATTGAAATGAAAATTTCTATCCTAATACTAATTAAAATGTGGGGATAAAAATTTAAAAAATAATTTTTTAATTCAATCCAGTATTTGGGATAAAAAATTTGAAAACTATTTTTAACTAAGATTTTTGGAATTACAAAATACAAAAATAATTTAAATAATTTTTTAATATAGTATTTGCAATCTTGAACAAAAGTAATCTCAAAGATTAAAAACAAAATTATATTATCTTTCTCTTCCGCACAGCTCATCGTACTCTTTGCCGCCGGTATGGCCATGGCTGCACCCGTTGAGGAATCCTCGGTAAAGGAGAAGCGCGGTCTCGCCTTGGGTTTGGGCTACCATGCACCATTGTTGACGCATTCAACAACTCAATTGGTGGCACCAACTATCTATCAATCGGCAGAATTGTTGCATGCACCCATCGTGCATGCGCCAATTATTACGCAACATGCACCAATTTACACTGCACACGCCATTTCGCATTCGATTCTGCCATCCTATCATTTCCCAGCTTATTCTGCGCTGCATCTCAAATAAATGCGTGAAAGTTGTGTAATTCTATTTGTTGCGGATGGCAAAGGTTCGAAGGTGAATGGCAACAACAACAACAATAATAATTACAACAAAAAATATGTACTAAGATGATGACAGCAAAAAGTGTAGCATCAGTTGAGAGGAATGAGGCAAGCAGCAACAGTCGAGAATACAACAAAAATCACGAAAAATTAAGAAATAAAAATTGCTTTATAATATGTGGCAACACTAACTAAAAACAAAATTGCTTCTTTGCTTTTATTTTTTCCGGAATTCAAAAGCTAATTTCTCCTGCTAGTGCGTGTTTGTTTTATTTGAAGTGTCTTGTTTCCACAAAATTATATTTGAAGGCGTGTTTGTACAGCAAAATACATACTTCTCTATCTCAAAGCGGAATATACAACTTCTTATATTTCAATAATAGCTACAGCAATAACAACTTGTTTCTTGTTTCATTGCCTTTCGCTTCTCGGTTTTACATTCAAACGTTTACTTTTCCATTTCTTCGTTTATATTTTTATATTCTTTTCATGCTTTTTTTTTGTTCATTCTCTAGACATTCGTAGATTTTGCTGATTTTTAAAATCCCTTTGAAATTTTGCCATCATGTTAATGTATAATTTGTGGATATTGTGAATAAGTTATAATAAAAAAGTTGTTTGCTTGATATTTATGATGTTTTTATGAGTCCCTTGTGGACTTACCTCGGTGGCAATGGCTAGATGCAGTGCACACTCGAAATTTTTTTTAGGTTTTTATTTGCACTCATTTGGAAATTTAAAACTACTACAATTTAAATGATTCAGAGAAGAGCGAGGAATCATTGGTATAGGTTTGCTTTGATGTGGTCTTCGTAATGTATTGTATCCTTTGAATCAACAGCAAATAAATAATACTAGATAAGCTTTTAGGTTAGGTTAGGTTATGCGGTGGATTCTAATAAGGATACGGTACGGTACCACAACGATACCTAAAACAACTATATAATAGATCATAAGACCCGCAAAAATCAATAAAGTGCTTGGAGCCTACCACAAATTTATTGAGACGGCGCACGTGAGGTCTAATGGTCTAGTGCTGGAACGAAAGATACCAATAGAAATTAAACTCGGTGCCATTTTGATGTGAGCGGGGCAAGAGAGCACATTTTAGCTAGCTCATTGCAGTTACCAGCGATTCCGCTATGACCAAACACCCAAACGAGTCTGATAATGAAGTAGCTTAATGTTACTTACATCTACAATATAAAAAATATTAGAAAGAAAATGCTTTATTCTATCAATGCGATATTAAAAATGCGATACCCTTAGCTGAAAAGCAGCTGAATTGTCAACCAGGACAGCGTAATCGGAGTGGACGCTATTTTTATCTGGTAAAAGACCATTAACTCACACCACAGCAACAACAACAATATTGAACTGAAGAACTTATTTGGAAGATTTAAACGCATAATCGTAAAATCCCCTTTTGTATTAAGTGCCTAGATAATAGATGGCGCACATACCATCTGATCAAATTTGACACGGATTGATCCATTTAAACTGCGCGCACGAACCATAACTATATCTTTTTTTTGTGTGATTTTTTGGTACCCTTTTTTATGTTCATGTGAAGTTTGAAGCCTTCAGCTGTTTGTTTACGAGGCGAAAAGTTTAACTAACGATTTGCTTAAAATTTTGTGTTTTCAATTGATTTACAGCTACGGAATCATTGAAAATATTGCAAAAATGTTTTGGGGAGTCTACTTTTTCACGAACACAGATTTGGGTGGCACAAAGCATTCTGTGAAGGTCGTAAAGCCATCGGAAACTTGCCTCATGTGAGCCGAAAGCAACATCAAGAATTCTGTCAAATTGAACTCGTTTTAGTTTGATAAAGTTTTTTATTTTTGGAACATACTTAGAGAAATTCCACTTTTATGTAGTGGTTAGACAAACGACTTTTTATAAACCATTTAATAATTGAAGACTTCTCGAAGACATTATTCTACTCATTATTGAATTTTATTTCTAAATTTGCTTAAATAGAAGTCGTTCCTTTTCGGAAACTTTCTTAAACATGGAATTATGTTCAATTTCAATTTCGTTGATCAATGGCAACTCTATTCTAAAATATGTCTATATAAAACAGCTCCCGAATATTGGCTAATTATACAATGAACAGGGTTTATTCAGTTTGCCACGATATTTGGGAATTTCAGAGACTCTATAAAAAATATACTTGTATATACATATACATGATTAGCATGACGATCTGAATCGATTTAGCCATATCCCTCTGTCTATTCGGCTGTCTCTCTGTAGGTATATACTCGAACTAGTCTCTCAGTTTTTGAGATATCGATCTGAAATTTTGCACACGTCCATTTTTTCCCAACAAGCTGCTCATTTGTCGGTACCATCGATGTCAGACCACTATAGCATATAGCTGCCATACAAACTGAATAATCGGAAACAAGTGTTCGTATGCAAAACTTTTTCATTTGACGAGATATCCTCAAGAAATTTGGCATGGGTTATTGCCTATAGCAATTTTGCAATCTGCGAAGAAATTGTTCAGATCGAGTTACTATAGCATATAGCTGCCATACAAATTGACCGATCAAAGTTCTTGTAAGCAATCTTTTGTATTTATGAAGGGTACTATAGCTTTGGTGCAACCGAATTTAACGTTTTATTTTTATTTTAAAATATTTGCAGTTTTTCAATGTATGGCAGCTCTATTCTAAAATATGACGGACACAAGTATGGTATTTTCATAATACTTTAGCTTTTAGTTTTGTAGCAAGCAAAGAATTCCTTCAGTTGATATAGTTTTTGTAGCTGAACATTCACATTAAGATCTTTATCCATATTCTATCCATATTAGCATATAGATTCCCAAATAAGTTGAAACCATTAACATTCCTCTCTTAAAATTCTATTTTTAAAAACATTTTTAAGTACTTTCGACTAAAATCGTCTAATCGCGTTACGCCGTCGCTAGTTATTTGGCATTGCCAGCTGGTAAATACTTAGCACTTACAAAAACAATTAAAGTCAAAAGAAAAGCAAAACTTAAAAAACACAATAACAATCATCGCAAATCATCAGCAGTGATGTTGGGTGGAAAATTTTCACAAAAGGTATCAACAATTTAAGAGGCATCAACCCACATTGCCACTTCAACGCGTGGCATTGCTTTGATGTTTACAATCAACAATACAGTTACTAAAAATAAAAACAACAATAACAACAACCGCAGTTAAGCTAAACGTTTCAATTCCAATGTGGCAACTGTGATTGTGAAAATGGTGCCATTCAAAACGGTGGTGATGATTGCGAAAGGCGGTTGCAAAGCGCTTGAAAAGTATAGCGGATTGTTGGAAGCACATTCTACCTATACATACGTACACATGAAACTCATAAATGAAAGCAAAAAGCAGAAAGTGGAACTTCAAAGCTTAAACCCGATCGTAATGTAACATTCCTCGCAATAACGGTGCTTGAATGAATCATTAAAACATATTGACGGTAAACGTTGTCAAGTCAAGTGCCGATGAAGGCACGTCTTTCCTTGGGTTTTTATGTAAGGGTATAAATTGAAATGCAAACTCGCTTATCCGTTTGGTTTTACTTCCGTTTCCCGTATATGTGATAGTACGTGCTTTTTACAATTCAACTTTGATTTGCACCTCAAATCTTAAGCCGATATTGCCCATTGAGAGCAAGCTAAGCGACAAATTGGCGTATTGATTGGTGTCAATCTCACAATGGTCTTAAATTCAACAAATGTGTCAACAAATTGTTTTTATGTTGTCGTCAAAAAAGTCTGTGATTTTTCTCATATAAGTTCTAGTAAAAATAAATCTATTATTTTTTGCATTAAATTGGTTTCATTTAGCATAGTTAGAATAATCCGATTTAGGTCAAATATACATCGGTTTTCGATATCTTGTTGCTATTTATCAGGTAATTTCGAAATGCCACTCACATAGAAACTCATCCTTATTGGAAAAAAATTAGGAGAGTCAATTTTCACGAGCTTCTCTTGAGCCAAAATTTTTTTTCACCAGCAAAATCATTCGCCATAGACACGAACAGGTAGCAGGTTCGGCCTATAGAGTGGATGTATAAAAACATCCCAACCAAACTCACGGAACTTCTAGCGAGTTACTATTGTTGTAAGTGACCCAATAACCATAAGCTTTCGAAATGGATCGGCTTTGCTGTTATTTAAGCGCAAGACGTAGATGGTAATTCGCTCCATGACTTCTATTTTGCGATATCCAATCTTATTTAAGTGGTTCCAAAAGTTTTCTTGTGCAATTTTTAGTTACTGAGGCATCAAAACGGTGATATATGATGGTTGGGTTCGATAATTTCTAATACTTTATCGATATTTTCGACAGTTGGCTTTTAGAGCGTGGTGCATATTTTCTCACTTTTATCGAAGAAAAGTTGTAAAATATGGAATAATCATTCTCTTTCTTGTCTGACATGTGCTCAAACAATACTGAATCAAGAAATCGCAAATATGTCTGAGAAGTTTGTTGAGTATGAAATAATATCTTTCTTACTCTATAAAGCGTCACCCGATCGCGTTTATACAACGCGAGATACAGTTTACTAAAGTCATCTATTGGAAAAATTATAGATTTTTTTACTAGACCTTATATATACATCCTGCTCAAATATAAACGAGACTGGCTCAATAAAACAAAAACGGTTAATTATTCTTCAATATTTATTTTATCCCCTTCAAAATAGTCACCATTAGAGGCGATACACATACGCCACCTTTTTTTCCAATCTTCCTAACACTTCTGGTAGGCCGCTTTAGGTATGGCTTTCAGTTCTTTCTTCGAATTCTCTTTTGGGACTTCAATCGACTGAAAATGCTTTCCACGAAGCCTTCTGCAACATTTTCATTGCGTCCGTCGCACTTATTCCATTGGAATAACAAAATTTCAAACAAACACTTTTTGCTCAACGTTAATTTCCATAGTAAAATTCGAAAAACACACTCGAGGTTGACTTGTTTATAGTGCCGTAAAAAAAAAACTATGGGAGAGATCGCGCTCAAATTTGACATGTAATCATATAACAGTCCTGCCAACCTAAGCAAAAAAAAGTATGGGCATATGTCATGTCCTTGTCGAGTTATGGATAAAGTCTCGTTTATATTTGAGCAGGAGGTATATGGTATACTGCTTTGGTGATGTCAATACATATTATAATTTACCATTGCGGAGCACGTTAAACT